AGCGAGCAAACGCTCGAGCCCACAAAAGTGGATGATGACGCTGGCGCTGCACGACTAATGTCATAGGCTGAATCACCATCACAGGTGCCAGGTTTCGTTGTGCTTGTACCGATGCCATCACCAGGACCATCGAGCGACTGCAGCCAGAGCTTTGCGGACTTTCGTCATGTGAGTGCTATTTCAGAGGGTTGCTGGGGATGGGGTTAGGCAACGCGACGCAGGCAGGCTTCAGGCAGTGAGGGTCGAGCCAGTGCTTTGTGAACATGCGTCATGTCAGTGCAAGTGCTGAGGGTTGATGAGGATAGGGCCAGGCCACGTGACTTTGACAGGTTTCAGGCAGTGAGGGTCGAGCCAGTGTACACTGATAGCTTTCTGCCTCAAACATTTATCTGTGCTCCTTTCCTGTTTTTTGCAAAGGATGCTGTACGACGCTCGCACAGGACAGTGCATGGGGCCTTGTGCACCACAGCTGACCGCCTTGCAGCCAGCCATGCCATTGTTGCCGCAAGCACGTCTTCAGCTTGCCACTCCCTTTGCCGCCTTGCCGCAAGCATACAGCCCCGGCCTCCAGCTCCAAGCATAAGCCTGCATCTCGACAGCATCATACATGTGCCTCCAGCCTTAAGCGCCGTTCTTCTTCACATCCTGCCAAAGGTCGCACAAGGTCAGGCCAGGTTTCTGCATCTCGGTCCAGAGAGAGACCCACAAGCCGGGCGCACCGTGCAAGTGCCTCAAGCTTTGAGCGCCGCCCTTCCTCGCATCATGCTCAAGGTCGCCGGAGGTCAGGCCAGGTTTCCCTATCGCGGTCCAGAGAGAGACCCACAAGCCGTGCACGGCATACTGCCCGACAACATGATCGCGTACGCATGGACAGCCGCTCCCCGCGTGTTCCCCGAGAGAACCGCGACCATTTCCGTGCCAGTGACAACCTCGCGCCCCGTCGCGCCGATCGACAGGGACACAGCCGCAGCCCCAACCCTGCTCATTTGGTCCTAACGCCAGGACCTGGTGCTCCTTTGCCCCCTGCTCCACCTATGCCTCCCGCCCCACACCAACAGCAGTTCGGCCCCTCTGCCCCTTACCCGCCACACCATGGACCTCTCTTTCATGTGTCACAGCCTGCCCAGTGGACTGTCTACAATCTGGCCGCCTACGGCCCACCACGTACGCCACCGCCTGCCGCCCGCCATAAGCCACACTACTCAGACAGCAAAGGGCACCAACCTCAGCTCCAGTCTCGGCGCGAGGGATACCATGCCGCGCAGGCAAAAAGGCAAGAGGCAGCGGCCGCAGCCAATTCTCCAAACCGCATCAAAGCTGCAGCTGAATTGCTGCCAGAAGAGCAACCGAAGCTCGACGCAGTGGACGTCGAGGAACGGGAGGAGCTCGCGCACAAGTTTGCTGCGGCGATTCTGGCCATGCCATCCAGCCTTGCCCGCGAACTGTCGCACATGTCGTTGGCGGCAGGAATCGGCAATTGCTCCCCTGCGATACTTCAGCTTGATGCCTGCAACACCTTTGAAGTCGCTGACTCGTATCAATGTTATTTTGTCCCGGTGGTTACACCCCCTGTGCAGACCTTTGGGCAAACCGGAGCACATGCTCCGGGGTACCGCTACAGCTATGTGTGGTGCCATGGCACCGACATCAGCACTGCCGCCTCCATTTTCAAAGAGCTCCAGGTACGCCCCACAATGCCGGGGAGCGGAATCAACACAGTGTCCGAGGTGGACTTCCCCGGCTGTTGCCTTTTACTGTCAGGCCTCAGTAGGAGAGTTGGATCTGCATTCGGTGCAGACAGCTGTTGCCAAAGAGTTGCGTATTTCGAAGGGCCTCCAGGGCATGCTGATCATGGGCGAATGCCACACAGTCCAGCCTCACCTGAAGGTGTCCTGGTCGGACACAGTCGAGGAATCTCGCCTTTGCTTCCGGCGAGGAGCCATCCGCGCAAAGGATCGCTGGGCCTTCAATGTTGCTTTCACCCGAATCCGGGGTTTTGTGGTACCCCTTCCTTTGTGAAGGATCTCTGATGCTGCCGGCACAAACAGTGTTTTCTGCCTTCGTCCTGCATCATGCCGTTGCACCGCAAGTGTACACAGGAACTGTGCATCAGCCGTTTTTATTCCGCTGCCGTTTTGTTTCACCTAGTTGGCTCAACTGACCTAGGACGTAGATTTCACCATTTGTCTCACCCTTTAGTTCTGCAGCATGGACCGCAGTCGCACTCCCCCACCACGTTCGGGACTTCGCTCCTCACCTTGCCAACATGGCCTGCCGCCTTTCCCGCCCGCGCCTCCTCCTCCACCCAGAGGCCCCCCACTTCCTTTCCTCGCCTCCCCGCACCGTCCTTTGCAACATGGGCACTGGCCTACGGCACCGGCCCACAACACCTTCATGCCACTACACCCCACTTTGGGATCCATGTCTGGACTCGCCAAAACCATCTTCCCCTGCAATACCTTCGCACCATATCCGGGGCCCGGAAGCCAGACAAAAGCCTCTGCGCCGGAGCCCTCCGCCAATTTTCATCACATCTCCGGCCACCCTCCCGCCTCGCGATCGCCTACTGCCTCAGGCGGTCCCGGAACAGCCACTCCGCAGCCTCCTATGACCCTGCCTGTGCCCGAGGACTGGCTGCAGGACAGTGACTACCTGGACACCCGTCGCAGCGTAGGGAACCTCAGTTGTCCTCGACACGTCGTGTCCTCCTCTTGGGCACGAGAGAAGGGAATCGCTGGTATTCTCGTCATGAACCTGCATCCTGCTCATTTCCTATACCAGGGATGGAACAGCTATTGGCTTCGATGGATCGCCAGCGGGAAAAAGGCCTACTTTGTAGTGGCCCGCGCCAAGGCTGAAATGGTGTTGGCCGGCGAGCTTTTATCACAAATTCGGTCTAATTCCTCGTCGACCAAGTGAAGAGCAAAGTACCTATTGAGACAGATTGCGAGTCCCAAGCCAGAATTCGCGAGCTTGAAGGACAAATTGGAAGCTTGCAGCAACAGCTTCAAAAGCAACAGCAGTCTGTCAGTGCCTCTCCTGACAGCGGTGTCTCCCTCGGCACTCCTGGCCCTTCCACTCCCCCCCCCTCCCCGTGTCAATAACGCTGACCGGTCACCCCTTGGACCATCAGCGGACGCAGCGCAGGTCAAAACCTGCGACAGCTACCCTTGCAATTCAGCCCCGGCTCCAATCTTGGCACCCCTGTCAAGCCTGAACCTTCCTCCATCATGCAGCCACCACAGAAAGGCTCACCTTGGCTCGCTTCTCATTTTCCAGCTAAGTGCCACGATAAGGAACTTAAAGCCTGGATCAGCTCTTTGACCTTGAATGATCGCAAAAAATCCGAGTTGCAGGATTGGCTGAAACAAGTCGAGGACTGGGTCGAAGCCCAGGATGCCGACGATTTCCTGACAAAATTCGCAGGACGGCAGTTTTTTGGGGAGTTCCCCCGGGCACCGTCACGAAATTACAGAAGCAGCCCTTGGGAAAACTCATTGCCGTTGGCTCCTACATGGAGCGGTGACTCCTCATGGCATCATATCGACGAACGCGGCGCTGCGTTCTGAGGCAAACGCAAGCCGCCGCCAAAGCCTTTCGATGCCTCATCAGTGGCACTGCTCCCGATCTTTTGCATTTTGATTTTTCCAGCTGTTGCATGGCTCAATGGTGCTGCGCACGGATTGCCATACATGAAGCACACCGGACCCTACCTGACACCCACGTGCTGAGAGGCGTGTTCCGTGCCCTGGGCATCCTGCCAGGCTATCCGAGCTTCCAACAGTTTTGCGCCGAGTCAGTTTTGTATAAAGAAGCATGCCAAACTTTTTTATGTGGGCAGCACGGAGAAATCCGTGATGGTCCGAGAGCACAGCAGGTACCGCAAGTACAAACAGGTGCTCGAGGACAAGCTTGTGTCAGCGGAACTCTCTATTCGGTTTTGGGCACATCGCCGCAACTTTTGGGACTGGTGTGTGATTCCTGTGTCTGACACCGTAGCTTGCGATGTTCTTCGAGGGCGTGAACAAGCCCTCATTCAGACATTACAACCTCCACTCAACTTTCCTTTCATCATGCGGTGGTTCTGCCCACGTCGTGGCATCATCAAACCAGCTGACGCCACACACGCCCAGAAGATTGGCCTGTTGCGCCTGTGGCGCAAACGTCGCAAGAAGCAGTTCTCAGCTACGGGCCGGGGGCTGCCTGCCCCTCTGTATGCCATCTTCGAAAAACCTTCTTTCCGCACCAAGGAGGCCACATGGGTGCTGCTCACCCAGTTAGGCAGCAACGCCGAGGCTCATTTCACAGCCGCCAAACGCCTGAGGGGAACTGAGTTTAGTTACCCCGCGTTATGTGCTCTTCACCGCATGGCCAAACATCTGCCCGCATACATGGCACCCAACGCGCTACGCGCTATCACTTCGGCTCTCAAATTTCGAGGCTTCCTCCCTCCCAGGGGGCATAGACCATTGCGCGTGTCATTTCTCTCTCACGAGACCTACCGCCAGGACCTCAGAACATGTATGAGGGCCTACATCTCTGAGTGCACTCATGCCGTCACTCCTTTTCATGTGCCGAAGACAACCGTGGTCTTCCCCGCCACCCACGCATTGCCCAGGTATTGTTTAACCACCAAGATGCACTGAAGCAGTGGGCAGCACGTAGGGAACCCACATGCAAGTGCGACATCATTCGGAAGTATGCGCCCAAGGCCCCCACGTTCAGCGGCCACGTTGCAGCCAGGGGCACGGAGTTCACCCAATCTCTCAGCACCCTTGAGAAGCAGATAGCCAGTGGCTCAACCACTGACGCCTTCTTCCCTGACAAAGCACAGCTGCGCACTCAATTTTTTTGAGGGATGGTCGACCTGGTGCAAGACCAATGCGCTGCCAGGCCCACCACGCGGCCTTGCCGTGGTGTTTCAGCAGATTTGGGACAAACATCTAACGCAGGTGTGCACCATGTACCATCGGGAAGCTGTCGACAGTTTGAGATCCAAGACACGTGGAGCCGTTTGGCACACCGGGGATCATCATCCTCGTGCCGCAGTCTGCTTTTGCCCCACTCTGTATCACCGCATGCTTGATGACACATTCGGTAATCCACAAGTGTTCCAAGAAGTTCCCCGCATGTTCGAGGAACAACTCAAGAAGGTCCAAAAAGCGGGGAAACGAGACCTTCAGCGCCGGTATCCGTGGGCCTTTCGGCGCACGCCAGTCATTCCACAGGCGTACGTGCTACCAAAGCGCAAGAAAGACTTTGCGTCGGGGCGACCGTTTGTTTCTTTTATTGATGCTTTCATGAGACATCATGAGACCTTTGCTGGAGGCCACTTCCAGATGACTTCATAGGATCTGCAGCCTTGCCTTCCCTCAGGCTTTTTCCAGAGGTGACGTTTACGAACTTCTCCGTCAGGTTCGCGCTTTTTTCCAATCCGGCACCACGGCACAGTTACACTGTCTCAATTCCTGCAGGCCTGGCGCATTACACTTGAGTTTTACAGACAGAGACATGGTGTTAGAGCTGAGACCACTTTCTCGGTTAACCTGAAAGAACATGCTCAGCAGCTGCGAGTTTTTCGTGGCAAACGTCGCACCCGGGCTTCCCGGGAGGTTACTATTTGGTGCGAAGACCTGCCAACCATCATACGACACGCCCTAGCATTACAGCATTTCCAAGTTTCAACACGAAACTTCCGCCAATGCTTCGGTTCACCGATGGGGTCTCCCCTATCACCTGCCTTGTGCGGCATGGTCATCGCTGCGCAAGAAGAAATTTGGCGACGCACCTTCAGCATCACCTGCTGCAGCATGAACCAGGCCCTGCTTGGCCTGAGATATGTTGACAACCGTCTTTGGATCTCAGAAAGTCGGTTTGAGCAGCTCCCGGGAATCCGCCTACTGCTCAACAATCACTTCTACGGCGGTTCAATCATTCTTGAAGATGAACCTGCCTACGACTTCGTGGGATTTTCCCTCGATTTTGAGCAACGCCGCATCTTATACAACAGGGCGTGCCAGGCGTCTGATCTTCCCAGCACCAAATCCGCCGCCCCCCAACCTGTACTACTTAGCGGGGTACTTGCCAGGGCGCACACCATCAAGAAGTGCTCCTTTCCGCGAGTACAAGCTCTCATGGATCTTCGATATCTTTGGGAACTCGCCCAACAGCGAGGCCTTCCTATCAATTCCTTTGCTTTCAAAACTAAATTTTGGAAGTTCACCTGACCAGGGAATCGCCCTCAGAAAAAATGCACGGCGCGCCAAGTATGCACAAGCCTTCATGATCGGTTGACAGCACCAACCCTTTTGTTGTTGCACAGGCTTTGCGCTTGGCTTAAGGTAGTCATCATGTCTTCGTCGGTGCCAGCTGATGAGCCCACCCTTCCAGAGAGCCCCACTGCACGCAGACAGGCTATTACTCAGGCACTACTTGAGATCCTTGGTGGAGATGGTTCAGCCAGTGAAGAAGAAAATCCCCCATCTCATGGCTCATCTACTCCCGGTGCCCTACGTGACCGTGCACTTCGTGACATGCTCGCAGACTTCATTGAGAAGACGACGCAGGATATCAATGACCTGCAACAGAGCGTGCGAGAACATGAACGCTCCGCGTCTCGTTGACTTCTAGTAGATGCTACCTTAAGGCATTGACGGATTCCAGAAAAAGCCGTCAATCTCTTGCGGTTATGTGCATTCACTGAATACGCACCTGTCACTTACTGCCTGCTTGGTTTGCTTGTACCGCAGCCAATTTTGTTGCAGGGACCCCACACGCATCCAACACCATGCCAGATCGCTCGCGATCTCCTGTGCCGCTTGCCAACATTCAGGAGCCCCAATGGCGCTGGGCTTGGCATACTGACGGCGAACATTGGTGGTGGCGGTGGTACGAAGTCACAAGGTTGTGGCTTCGTAGGCGAACACTTGCTGACCGTCCTTTGGTCATCAATGAAGACTCATCGACGAGTCCTTCACGCAAGAGAAGCCATTCTCCCTGAGTGCAGACTTACTTTGTTTGCCTTTAATTAATCTTTCCCGGACTCTTGGCCCGGGACATCAGCCATACATGGATCATAGGGCCCCAACCACGTATGTGACGTCATGTTTGCGCTTCGCAGAAAAGTCACCGCTCTTGCCTCTCCTGCTCGCTTTTCATGTTACTGGCATGAAAACGAAATCCTTCATGTTTCCGCAGCCATTTCTTTTGTACTTGTTCAGCTTGTTCAGCATGAACAACACCTTAGATACCGACCTCAAGTACGATGAGCTCCCTGACGATGCGAGCTCATGGTCGTCCGCTTTCGACCCTCCCAAGGACCTTCCCAAGGATAAGACCGACAAACCTGTGAGGCGGACCAAGAAAAAGAAACACAGCAAGAACAAGGACAAGCGCAAAAAAGAAAAGAAGTCAAAGAAAAAGAGACGCCCTCGATCTGCCTCTACTGAGTCCTGTGCAGTTAGTGAGGCAGGCTCTGCCAATACGATGGGCGATCCCATGCTGTTTCATCGCCCTAACGCCATTCGAGGTCGGGCATGTGCTAAAATGTTGGTCCGCGCCAACCTACGTTGTGCTTGCCATTTCAATTATGTTTCACAATGCCCAAACAGAGACCTTCCGCCTTGAGGCAGCCCGATTAGCGGGCGTGTGTGTGTGTGAACGCCTGTACAT